TCCCTTAGCTCTCACACGCATGACCACGCATACTTGTTTATGGGCACCTCACAGGTGTGGACTGTCAACCACTACTCTGAATTCATTCGCCATTTTCATCTGATTTTAGAAGGAAAAAAATCATGTGTTCGTGACTTGCCTAAAACAGACACTATTAACCCTTATTAATCAGCTTAGGTACTAGTGGGGTCCCTCGGTTCTGTCCTCGGCCCCCTGCTGTTTGTCCTTTTTATCAATGACCTGCCTGAGGCAATTAAACACGACAGTGAGGTATATCTATATGCGGATGACACAAAGATTTTTAGGAAAATAGAACGAGATGAGGATTGTGACATGCTGCAGGAGGACCTGGATGGGATCAGGGGTTGGACTGAGAAGTGGATGCTGAACTTTCACCCAGAAAAAAGTAAATACATGAGGATAGGAAGAACAAAAGTTGCTGATCATGGGTATCATATGTACACCACGATCAAGAAGACCACTGTAGAGTAGGATATAGGGGTAGTCATCTGTGATAAGCTGACGTTTTCTGACCATCTAGCTGAGAAAATCAACAAGGCTAATTAAATAGTGGGCATTATTAGAAGAACTTTTGTTCATCTGGATGCACCTATATTCAAGGCTCTGTACACTGCTCTGGTTAGGCCACACCTTGAGTATGCTCATCAAATTTGGTGCCCATATCTCATTAAGGATATTGAAGCAGTAGAGAATGTACAGAGGGCTACCAAATTAGTACCACAGATCAAGGATTTATCTTATGAGGAAAGACTAAGGAAATTACAGTTACCGACACTGGCGTACAGAAGATCTCGTGGGGACTAAGTGGAAACATACAAGATAGTGTGTGGCATATATGACCAGGCATGTACAGCAGGGATGTTCCAGATGAGGGAGGCTGACACTACCCTGGGGAACTCAAAGATCTACAAAACAAGAGCGAGGCTAAATCTCAGAAGACACTCGTTCACGAGTAGGATTGTCAACAACTGGAATGGTTTACCTGAGTGGGTAGTGAATGTGGAGACGGTGGAAAAGTTTGAAGCAAAATTAGATAAATACTGGAAAAATCAACAAGTATATAATTTTAGGGCACAATTATCCGTCACACACAGCCACCGTCTGAGTAGAGAAGAGGCTATTGAGCTGGAGTCACAGGCGTGAGGCTCTTCCAGAAGATCATCTGTGAGTAACTGTGAGTAACCTCCCGCTGTGAAACGGTTAGTGACTGCTACTCGCTTGGCTAAGGTTTTTTTTTAGTCATTCCCTTGATATTATTGCGGGTTTGGCCAAGGTTCCGCACGCCTCACTGGCTCCACTGAAAGAACTAAAAATTAAATTTATGAGTATCAAGTGTTGTTGACAGCGGCTGGTGGGATGCTTCCACCTGTAATCTTTTCTAGGAATTTACTTTCTCGGAATTCTGTTTGACGCCATAGTAATAAATATTGGTGAAACTGTCCAGTACAGGATTAAAAAAATATATATATATATATATATATATATATATATATATATATATATATATATATATATATATATATATATATATATATATATATATATATATATATATATATATATATATGTATATATCATGTAAATCCACAATGAAAACGTGGATAAGATAAATCTTGATAAAATCACACGGGAAAATGGAAACAACGGAGCATTAGCTATATATATATATATATATATATATATATATATATATATATATATATATATATATATATATATATATATATATATATATATATATATATATATATATATATATATATATATATATATATATATATATTATATACAGTATATTTAGTTCTTGGCCTAGTGCTGAAAATGTCTCAGCAATAATTTGTTGGGAAGTGATAGATTCCTTAGCTTTTGAAATGATGCATGACACGACGGATGAAAGGTTACCAACCATCTTCAGGACTAATTCCAGCTTAAGACATCTTTTAAAACACACACATACACACTGCTCTACGCATGCCTTGCAACCCTTGTAAAACCCAGCAATTATTATTATTATTATTATTATTATTATTATTATTATTATTATTATTATTATTATTATTATCATTATTATTATTACTTACGTTCGTACACTTGGATTATGTCGTCCCTCTACGTCTCTCCTGGGAACGTAAATTCAGTACAGTATTGTAAATCTGTCTTTACACAGACGGCTGCTTTGTTGTTGATGATGTCATAAAGCGCTTCAGCAACTAAGGTGTTTCAGCGCCTACACTAGATTTCTGATAACTATAACTTACGCTTGGCTGCCTTAATTACACGTCTCCGGATGTTTTGAAGAGTATTATTATTTATCTTATACGTAGTCCGGTCATCAAACCTGGACAACATAATCCAATGGAGGAGGTCTTACTAGCGGTGGAAAAAGTGAAGTAAAATTTTTAATCCTGCTACTAACACTTCTAGATAATAAAGCCTAGTAGTCTATTAGCACAACGGCGAACAAAGGTGTTCTCGCCTCTTCTGCTGCTCCACGAACCCCGAGATTCGGATTCGTGAATCCGAAGCATTTATAGACAGAATAATGCATAAATATCGACTGTTCGGGTTCACGAGTTTGAATCTCCAGGTTCGTGGTTCAGGAGAAGAGGCGACGGGTCTTTTGTGAGTGACTGTACCTATCGAGGGAGGGGAGGGGAGCTAATCTTCAGGTGATCCATGAAGGCAAACGTTGTAAATGAACTTGACTAGATCACAGCTTTACAGTTACCCTTATTTCGGGAATCATGTCTAATTCATCTTAAGTGAAAACCAAGAGAAAATATTAAATACAAATTGTTCCTTTCCTCTTGATAGTGAACGAGTTGTCGATTCTGAGTAAACACAAGAAATACACTCTGCCGCATATCATTACCATAGTGAATTTAAGCGTTTTCTTTACCCATTGACCTGCCATCTTACGACAAAATTCCGACTGACTACTCGTCAATTATAAGCTTAACTGACTGTATTGGCCAGTCTTTTTAGCAGCTTTTGTTTGATGCGTTTGTCTTTGCCTCCATAGCTGCTCTGGCCTCATTTTTTTTCTTTTCTTAAAACTTCCCTCTAAATTTCCTTGGATGAGTTCTCACTTACCTTGTAGGTGATGTTAAGCAGACTGGTCTCTAGTCTTCTGCCGCACTCTGTCTATCCCTCTTAAACATCTTTTGTGAGTTACTGCCATTAAACAGTATTATCTTATTAATTTTTGCTGTAACACACTTATAAAATTTCTAAACAAAGTACACACACATACGCATATATATATATATATATATATATATATATATATATATATATATATATATATAATATATATGCTGATAACCTATTTTTCCTTGTTTATATATATATATATATATATATATATATATATATATATATATATATATATATATATATATATTCCATACTCACAATTTGTTGTCTAGTGGTAGACCCTGCTGCCATATAGCATCACGAAAATTGTGACCAATTCCCAGGTTGCTGATCTGAATTTCTGCCTCATTTACACACAATTGCAGGGTCTCAATTGTTTCTCTTACTATTGACAACACAACATATATACTGTATATTGTTTCTTATTTTGTATTGTTTTTCATTTTTGTATTTCTTTATTAATATTATTATTAGTGCATTATTATTATCAATTTATTATTTTACTTTAAATTTTTTGTTATAAAATTTATTTACTATGAATTATTATTACATCCTCGCCCCCCAGGCCCTGATTTGGGTCAATGACCTGTGCCCTGGTGGGCTAATCCCCGTAAAAAAAAAATAAATAAATAAATAAAATAAAATTCATAATTTAATCTGCTCTCCAGTCACTAGTTTCGGTGACAACTCGGTTGTGAGTATTAGTGTAAGATAACAGCTGAAAAACAATTAATATCGCAGATGAATTCTGTTCCAGAAGACTGAAGTTCAACTTTCATTAAGTGTAAAAGTGAACCTTAGCTACACTAAGTCGTAGTTAACACGTCATCCGTGGAAGCCATGATTAACCTCGCTAAAGGAGTCTCTCGTTGGCTCTTATATCATTAGTTCCCCACAGTTGCTTACGTTATTAGTGAAAAGGTAAAGTGTGAGTGCGATAGGTGTTTACGTGGCTCATCAAGGTTTGGTTACTGCTACGGGAGTTACAGTCAGTAGTTATGGGGGGTGTAGTGGGGGGGGTACCGAGTTGACTATATTATGGAAGGAAGCACCAAACTGGGTTCAGTGGTGAACGAGTCAACATGGCTGCTCTTGCCTTGTGGTATCTCGCTGTAGCAAGTTTGTTGGGTGTGACCGCTGGCGCCCCTCAGGTTTGTTCCTCTCTGTTAATACTGTCATTTCCTTCCTGGTTTTCATACTTCGTGTTTGCCCAGACTTATTTTATGCAGAATTACTAAAAAATTTTATACACGATATCACAGCGAGAAAACGGCTTAAAGTCATATCATATAAGATTACACAAAGCAGAATGAACCTTACCTTACCTTACCTTACCTTACCTTACCTTACCTTACCTTGCCTTGCCTTGCCTTGCCTTACCTTACCTTACCTTACCTTACCTTACCTTACCTTGCCTTACCTTGCCTTGCCTTGCCTTGCCTTGCCTTGCCTTACCCCGCCTTGCCTTTACTCCATCTCTGCCTTAATTACCTTACCTTGCCTTACCTTACCTTACCTTACCTTACCTTGCCTTACCTTGCCTTGC